ATCCTGCCACGGATGTTCGTCTTCGCTGGGGGCATAAGTAACCACGACTATCACTCCTCACCTCTGATTGATGGGAAGGTGAGCCCAAAGTAGCCTGGGGTTTTACAGTTTTCCACACCTCACCGCCACGCTCACGCACCCCCTTCATTCTTTTGTTCAGAAGAAGAGGCAATCCCTGTTGTTTGACAGTCTCCTGCCCCGAGTAGAGGATTGTCCACCCCTCATGGTGACAGGAGCCAGAGCCAGTCCACCGGACCTCCTGAATACCAGAGATACAGGCCGTACCAGTCCAGCTCCCGACAGAGGAGTGGTAGCCTCTCCTCCAGAGTAAGTGTTCAAACATTCCACTTGGCCACCCGTAGTGGTTATTGTTTCTGGAGGAGCCCCGAGGGTAAGGATTGAGTCTCCTGTCTCTGCCAAATGGGGTTTGGCCAGTAGACGTCATAGACGCCTGTCCCCCCGGGGCCTCCGGTACCAGCTTATTAGATTTTTAAATCTTGGTTTGATGGTAATTCATTGAAGGTGGAGGGGTTACCAGCCCCTCGCACCTGTTCAGAGCCCTCATTTGGCCGCTCCGGTGGTTACAAGCGTCATGAGGGGAATGGCCAATATAATTTGCTCCTCCCCCCATGGCACTGCCCACCACAGCGTTGCCGTCCGGCACCACGAGGAGGTAGGAGGTTGTTTTTGACATACATATATACACACACACATACACACGCGCATGTACACACGCTCACAACACACACACACACACTACCAGCGGTGACGTGAGGGCTCATTGGAGCTGGCGGAGGATTGCCCCACCAAACCCAATAGTTCGGCGGTTCTTTTTGCAAGTTGTCTGGAAACAATTTTTTTCTTCACGGAATTTATCTCCATGTTGTCGTAAGTGGGGCTTTTCGTCCAATCATGGTGTCGACTTACGATCAGTTGTACTAATGAATGAGCCTCAGGAACGGAACCGGTTCATAAGGCAGGAACTGGCCGTCACGCGTTCCGGCGGGGCGTTGCAAATAACGTTGCATTTTCAGCACAGGATTATTAATTTTTGCACAGATTGGGTGTCTCACCTTTATTTTATTATCGGAAGTTTGCATCATCACTTTTACAGGTCATTAACACGTGAGGTAATGCTCAGCAAGCAGCCAGCCAGCCTGTGCGATGGTGATAAGTATTAAAATTATGTTACTGGTCCCTGTCGCACACGCCGAGCAGCCAACCAGAGGGCAGAATGTTACTACTCAGTCTCTTTGGGTATTATTATAGAAGATGGAACTTCCAGCTTTCTGTGTGAAAACCCAACTTAGTGTGAAAAAAATATTAATTTTAGACTTAAAACTTTCGTGACTGCAGGAATTCATATTCTTGGTTCTTTCGGTAAAGTCACATAAATATTAATTTGAAAGTTTACAAGAACGAAATGTCGAACTAAATTTGAGCGGCGACCCAATTATGTGACCTCTTCAATGGAAGTGATTTATAATTCGAACATTTTAAAGTACACACAATCGTATTCACTTAGAATTGCTAAACTGATGTCAACTAATTGTAGTGTGATGAATGTTTCATAATTTTGTATCCATTCAATCGTGTTACAATCGATCAGATTATACATAACAACAAACACTGTTGCATTTTAACGTCATGTTTTAATTTAACTTGCAAACAATAAGATTCCAGCATACATACACACAGACATTCAAATAAAACACGGCATTTGCAACAATGCAAAAAGTGAACCGTAAGAAATCTAACCTCGTGAACTGCAAACCACAGGGCTTCATTTCAGTGGGAGCTGTCCGGGGCTAAGCTCTGAATATATGACTGCCCCCCCTCGCCCGCTTTTGAATGGTGGAGGGGGCAAGGTTTTGGGGGGGAGGGGTTGAGGGGTGTGGCCCAGGAATAGATTCCATGATAAATTAAAGCCCTGCCACAATCTGCCTTACGTCGCTGTGATTTTGTTTTTTTGTCACTTCGTTCGTTATTTGTTGCCACATCCAAAGATAATTCTACTCGTTGCAATCAATCGCTGTGCCGAATTCCCTAAAACTTAATCGAAGCGTCATCGAGGTGCTTAATACACACACCGGTTGATACACTGGATGAATTTTACAAGTGTGTTCCTATTACATCCAAACTCACACTTGAAAAATACGACTGTGGCATGCATACTAATTGCAACTTTAATACTTTAATATTTACTGTGATCACCGTCTCTGGGTCAATGCTGTACAAGTTATGGGTTTCCCAACGCTAATAGACACCCTTAATGAGCTGCAGCTGTATATCAAGTGGTTTATTGGCAGACGGTGTTTGTCCCAACAACCGTGTTGGCAATCTAGGATACAAGCTGCAGTCCATCGCACGGCAATACTTTAAAGGTCTGTGCTACGGTTTATCACACAATACATTTTAGAAAAGAAGTTAAACATTTGCAGTAGGAGTAGTGCCTGCCTTCTGCTGTTTTTTTTACAACTCTGCATTCAGGCTGCTTTGGGCCTAACAGAACAGACATTTCAGCGTTACCAATACCTGTGGGCTGTTTACCTTTTTCGTCAAATATTACGATGCAAATGTTTATCTGTGCCTTGTATACATATGTGAGTGTAATAAGAATGGTGTTTCGGCTAGAACTACGCTATGTGACGATCCCAGTATCTTGGATTCGATTACGAGCTATGTATAACAACGTTGACATGTCATTTAGCAGGTAACCTGGGCTGTCTTCACCAGGCCAACTCTGCCTCAAGTGAGTGCCTAGTGCCGGTCTGTAAACGTCAGCACTGCAGAGAAATGGAGCCGGCCATGGAACTCTGCATGTCTGCCATGCCAACCTTAAACGTTTGTCGTCCTTCCCCGACACCTCCGATTAGCACGGTTGGCTACGTACGGTGCGAACGAAATCAAGCATACAAACAAGGTGCTCGCCAAATCGCTTGCCCCACAGTTTAGAAGGCAACGTGCGCTGTGTTTAAGAGAGGGATGCTGTTGTTTATAGAAAGAGCCATGATTTTCAAGATGTAGGTTTAATAGTTGGTTGTACATATTAGCGAGTGGTATATAAACATGTACAGGGGTTCCCATAGGTAAGCTTAACCTGAAATATATATGGCGACGTGTGTAAACCAACAGTATCTGTGTCATGCCAATTTTAATGGGAACTTTCTCGTATCAATTTCCCAACATTGTGGTCAAATGGGTGATCTTGGTCTTCGTAGCGGTCTACATGGCTACACCTGGGAAATTATGTCATTGTAGAGTATGTGTTTATGGCTTCATTGTGAGTGTTGTAATACAACAAGTTTTATAGTGATGTATCCGATACCAGTGCAATATCAGTAACACATTGTTTAATTAATGGGACGTGGCCATTGTACTCAATGTTTTCTCTTTCCAGAAACGTTCACCAAAATGCACACATTATCACACGATAAAAGGTGGAGTGTTGCCCTTCCATAACTGCACATAAGAACGGTTAGCTATTATTCACGTATTATCCTTTGAGACAATTGGAAGTTATCAAAGTATGAAGCTACAATATAGTTGTGAATATATAAATCATGGACACATTTACGATCACGACGAGCATGGAGTGTCACAGTGGATAGATGTTAATTACCTCGCCTGATATACAGGAGGTTGTGGGTTTGAGCCCGACACTGAAGCCTGCATATTTAGAGTTTGCATGTTCTCCCCGTGGTCGAGCGGATTTTTCCCTCCACATTTAGAAACATGGGTTTTATTATTTTTTTCTATCTACGTGACTTTACCAAAAGAAGCATAGAACATAGGTTTTGACTATATGGCCGCTATACATTTCCACGTGATAAGCCACTTCATTGAGCTAATTTGTGGCCAGGCACTTCTGAAAAAGAGCTACATAGATCAGTGGACCTTACCTGATAGAATAAAAAGTTTTAGGTTAGTGTAAGAATATGTCATCACCCATCATTGTAAACCTGAATGAAAGCCATCCCAAGCGCCACTACCTCTCACCTTCCTGCAATGTAATAATCCACCCAGCATCTGCACACTTTTTTCGCTCCATCTCCACGTTGTATGTCCTCTCGGACGCTGCCGATCTTGACCATCGGCCATTGTCCCTTCTGGTGAAGAGTCTTGCTCAAGCCCACTTCAGCCAGAAGATAATTTCGGATGAGGGAAGTAAACTACACTGTTTAAACTTTTTTTTATTTTACCAGGTAAAGCCCACTGAGATATATAGCTCTTTTTCAGAAGCGAACTTGCCACAAATGATAGCTCAACGAAGTGACTTATTAGGTAGAAATGCATTGCAGCTAAATACTCTAAACGCGCGTTTATAAATGTGGAGGAGGAAAACCGGAGGACCCGGAGAAAAATCCAACCAAGGGGAGAACATGCAAACTTAAAATATACAGGTTTCAGGGTCCAGATTGAACCCACGGCCTCCTGTATTCCGGGTGAGGTAGTTAACATCTTGCTACCATGGCGCCCAGAGTAGGATGTAATATACAAATGCGATTTTTGGGGGGCCATGAAGTGTCTGATAACAGTTACTTGGCAGAAAATTAAGTCACCAGTGCTTCACCTTGTAACCTGTAGACATAACGTAGTCCGACATTCTTTAAAAACACTGTGGACTCTCGGAAAATGGAAGTGATATTTCAGCATGAACTTTGAGTGCTCACACTCTGCACGTGCAACGCTGAAGTTGTTAGGAAAGCTTGGATGGGATAATCTGATGCATCCAGCATACATCCCAAATGTAGCCCCTTTGAATTCCCACGTGTTTGGAAATCCGAGAGAATCTTTGCATGGCGTGGATCTTGATTGTATTACGCCAGCAGGGCCCAATTGGGACATGGAAGGTGGATTGCCAGTTAAGTGATTGTGAAAGCAGCCAAAGCTCAAGGACCAGAGAAAATACATCCGTGCTGCTGATTGTGTGGAAAAATAGTCTGCGGTGTTGATGCAAACAAATATTATCTCAGACCTGACTTTTGTCGCTTTACTCATTGCACAAAGTAAATACACAGGAGTAGCATTCGTCTGAGTGGGCTGTCCAAGCTAAGTGCCTGGAAGAGGGCTTTGCTACTCACCATAGTTCGTGGTTGTTGGGAACGGTGTGAAAGAAGGTGTTAAATGTAGTTGTGGTGTACACTCGCAGTGTGCGGTTAATCACACGTTAATATGCACAACTCTAGCTCGTAGTTTAAGTTCGCATATGCCCGCCCGTTTTCCTATGCAACGACATTAATTGCCTGTAATTTCTTGTGAGCTGAATGTAACCATTTAACAAGTCTCTTCTGCATAAAGATATAGCAGCTCATTACCTGCCTCAACAAATGGCAGACATTCTTACTAATACGAGCTTCCAAGACATTAGTCACCATATTTTCTGGATTATTAAGTTGCACTCTTGTCCCAGTATTGTAAAGCGACAGTTGGCGTAAGTCTTACAATCCAGTCGGTATGTGTGTGACCATATTTGTACAACTTCATCATGAACACTGGGAGCGAGTGTAGAGCGCGTCTTACTCATACAGATTATCTATAATCTGAATATAGTAAACATCATCTAATATATTACATTCGTTCACCTAGCCAGGACTATTGTTATAATTAGTATTCATTTGATAAGTGTAATTTAATGTGATTGTCAAATTAAAAATATCAGTAATACATATACTACCCAAAAATGCATTTACAAACACAATCTAATTTGATTAAAAATGAAACAATGAAAGCAGGAATGGAGGACTATATGTCAAATTTATGGGTTGTTGCAATATTTTATAGAAATAATCGTATTTTGAATATAAATTATTTCATTACTGTACATATACCAGCAAGTGAATGGTTTATAGTAAGAATTAAATGGCTTATATCAAATTGCTGAGCATGCCCATTTCTCAGTAACGCACATTTATTAATTCCCATTGCGATGTCCGTGTCACGAGTCGCTCTTGACTGTTCTACGGTGTGAACACCACTGGAAAGGGTTCCCTACAGGCAGCACGTGAGTGCACAACAGCCACCGCCCACCTGCTCTTCGGCCTAAAGGTCACCCACCCGCGGCGGTGGTGTTTGAGCCATTGTCCAATTGGCAAGATTCTGAGGAACAACAATCCCCCCCCACCACCACTACAATTTATCGAGAGAGAACTCCCTCAGCCAGCAATTACATGAGCAGGCCCGGTGACGAAGATGGTGAAATAAACAATGCAGAGCAAAAATTGTGACCAGGCTGTCCCACGATAGCATGCAAGTGTCATCAAAATCGCATATACTCTACACAGTATATATGTACCACAACTTTAGCCACCATCCTAAAACATTCAAAGTATATATGTTTTTAATTGAATATTTGAGACATTGGAAGAAAAAAAAGTATGCTGGTTCGACCTCATTAGGGGTCATCAGCACATTACTGGCCCGCTATCCTACTCGCGCAATGATGAAAGAAGTCTCACAAATGGTGACATCCGTCTGAAAAAACTAATACAGCAGCTTCGAGGTGAACAAAACTGACATCGCCAACTGATGAAACCTCAACTCAGCTGGTAAAAAAGGAGATACATCACAACTAAATCTAATGCACCTACCTTTTAAACTTCTCATAACTCAAAGCATATCGACAATAGAAAGGGCACTGGGAATAATCTCTACATTTATATAGATACCTGCCGTTTGATCATTGGTTCGGTTTATAGTGGAGCACAGCTTACGTACCATCATCTCAATGGATTGATTGGTGTTTTGCTTCACGCGGGCGCAATTCCATCCGTGAATTCGACCTCATGGCCGCAAAACTTTGCTACAATGCTTTGCCAATTATTTCCCAGCAAAATCAGTGAAGCTGGTCTGTTACTGAGGGGGTGGGGGTCAACTATCTCCGCTTGACGAACGTGACTCCTATTTTACTTGTTGGGTCACCAGCCAGTGTGGCCGCATAGCGAGATGCTCTTGTCTGCGGTTGAAGACAATGACCTTGTTGTTATTTTGTAGCATTCGCACTGCATGCACTGTGACTGCAATCATCGGAAGTCGGCATGCAGTGTCACGTAGCGAGTATACTAGACAACCGAGCTGGGCTCTTGTGCTTTTTAACGAAAACTCACTGTAAACGGGTGACTTTTATATCAACACTGATTAAGACACTGAAACAAAATAATTTCCCTTTGTCACGGTGCATCCCTCAAATGTTGGGTTACTCTCACAACATCGCTGTAACCCGGATTTAAGTGATGTAAATGTGATTGACTGAAAATAGGTCATATCCAAAAACCGAACCGCTTTTTTCTCAACTTGGTCATAATATCTTGACTTAAAGCTTTCGTGACTGCAGGAATTCATATTGTTGGGTCTTTCGGTAAAGCTACGTAGATAGGTTCAAAACATCCTGCCTCAGCACCTTTCCCGCTAATTTTTCTTTTTCCTGATGACGATTGCTTGTATTGCGATTGAAACGTCATCGTTTTTTGTTGTTTTTTTGTTATTTTCTTTGAACCTATCTACGTGACTTTACTGAAAGACCCAAGAATATTGGTCATAATATATAAATATTTTTTTATAAACGTGACATGGCTTGCTTTACCATGTAAACAACGAGTGTGCATCTATAAGTCTCCATGGGGCTTGTTACCTCTGGTTGATTCGATTAAGGAGAGGCTGTGGTATACATAAGAAACAATTAGAAAGATTTTGATTCTGCTTATTTTATGTTTTTTTGTTTTCTGTCAAATTCTTTATGCAATTGCCATGGGAGCTTCTTGTTAAGCTGACGAGTAGTCTGGTGTCATTAAATTAGCCCTGATGTTTTATGACGATAGCTGGTAACTCAATTCTTCTCCTCGACTGCGAGTCTAGTCCATCTTTGTGTGGAGGTGTACGCCTAATCTGGTATGTCATTGAAGGGAAACAAAGCCACAACCCTTTCACTTTTGGAGAAATACTTCAGTGTGTTGCATACAATCACATATATATGTAAGTTAATATATACTTTGTGTTGTATACACGTATATATACCTCATATGCATTGTATGCAATATGCGTGTGTGTGTATTATATAAATATACTGTTATACAGATGTGTGCGAGTATAAAATGCATTTTTCTGTCATTTTGTATTCGTAAAAACCCTGCAGAATTAGTCGTGCGTAATTTAAGAATGAGTCAATGCTGCTACGGTCATTTCTTTTTTTTAAAGATCCCCAATGTTTATGTACAATCGTCTCATTGGTGGAGGCAAGGTTAACAGAGCTGCTTCACACACACACCAAATGTTGCGACTCCATCTCAGCCCCAGGATTTACCGTCACAGTACTTTTAAGGGAATGGCAATAACGGTGGGACGCTAGGTGAAAGGATTTGCCTTTGCCTTCCTTCACATCCACCTCATCGAAAAAATAAAACCCGAGCTGGCCCACCATCAAAGGTACACAGACCAGTAGATTATGTTGAAGAAGAAAAAGCAGAAGGGGAAAAGAGCGCGGGCGTAATGGTCCACGCGCTTGGCCTCCATCGGGATAACCGCCTTGGGTGGCGGGGGCTTTTTGGCGTTCTTGCCGCCGCCACTGGCGCCACGCATGCTGCCGTTGGGCCGCGTGGCCAGCCCCTCCACTGGCTTGCCGTAGCAGTCGTAGTTGGTGAGGTCGAAGTCCTGCGGCAAGCTGCCCACGATGCTGAAGTCGCCCATGCGCAGGTCCGAGCGAGACTGGCACACGCGCTTGCACCGCGAGTCTCCTCCCTGCTCGCGCGCACAAGCGGAATTTTAACCTCATTGCCAGCGCAGCTGTTTTTGTCTACTTCTGAGCAATAAAATAAGTTAACTATGATTTTTTTTTTACCAAGTGAGGCCCACTGATCTATATAGCTCTTTTTCAGAAGCGACCTGGCCACAAATGATAGCCCATCGAAGTGGTTGATCATGTGGAAATGTATAGCAGCCAAATCCTCTAAACGCATGTTTATAAATGTGGAAATAAAAACTGGAGGAACCTGAGAAAAATCCACACGACCAGGGGAAAACATGCACACTCCAAATATACAGGCGTCAGGTTCAGGATCAAACCCACAACCTCCTGTATACCAGGCAAGGTAGTTAACATCTTGCCACCGTGGCACCTCAGGTTTAACAAGGTTTGACAGGGGTATAACGTTTGCAGGCTCAGTCCGGTCACTGATTCATTGTTAAAAATACCAGATAATTATGGTTTGTAATTTATTCACCTTACTGTGTAATAGTTTCAAACTTAAAGGGTGTATGCAGGATTGAAACGACCAATCATCGTTCAAAAACGTGCAGGCAAAGAAAACCCGTGTCACCGAGCATCCTACTTTTATTTTCACAACAAATCGCTGAGCAGATCCCCGCATGAAAAGTAAAGCCTGTCTCTGCTGTAAGCAACCACTTGTGCAATTTGCTTACGACCGGTTGCAAAGACATACCCATGTGATTAGGTTGTTGTTCTTCCCCCGCATATGTATGTATGTTTAGACATTGAATTTCATTCAACTGAGTGGTGCAGCTGATTGCTCAAGGCGTGGACCCGGCGTCACAGAGCTTAGAGCTTAGTACTGTAAACGAGCACTCGCCAAAGCAAGCACGATAAATCCCATACTGTGCTCATCCGCGGTCACAGCACTTCTCTTTTTTATTTATTTTCTCACAGTCCTCCAGATTGGAATCCTTTCCGATTGCCTCCTTTTCCCCAATAATTATAATAACATCGCTAAAGTCAAGAAATGTATGAACGCTTATCTGTTACACCTTAAAGAGGACAGTTGCCCAGATTCGAACCAAGACCCAAATAAAATGTCCATGCCTCACTGAAATATGTTTTTGAGGAATGAAGAAGACAAATCAATATTAAATGGAACAGGATGTTTATAGGAAAGGTTAGGGAAAATGGGTGGCGATTATAGAAAAAATGCGTTTTGAATGATATCGCTAGAAAAGTTCCACACAATAAACATCACAATATCAGTTGGGGCCAGAGTTAGTATGACTTCAAGAGTTTAAAACAGGCATTTTCAGTGAGATTCGCCAAAGTAAATAATGAAAATTATTTCTGTTGTATTGAACTCATGATGAATTATATCATAAAAGGGGGAAAATGCCAGTATGCATACTGGAAACATAAACATTAACAATATATTAATCCATGCTATATTGATTGGTGTTCGACATATGCATCCATAACATTTATACTTTTCCTGAATTAACGTTGAAGTGATTTTGTGGGATATTCATGATTATACAATGATTGCATGGGATATTTCAAAAGGGAACTGTGGATGTAGTGGTTTAAGTGCGATTTAAGCAGCCCAAGTTCAATTTATGATCATGCAAAACACCAGCAACAATTGGTATTTGAATGTGGTCTGTCACCTCCCTTAGATGCACCGTGGTGGCGAGATGTTAACTACCTCGCCTGGTATACAGGAGGTCGTGGGTTTGATCTCGACCCTGACCCCTGTATATTGGAGTTTGCATGTTGTCCCCGTGGCCGCTCGGATTTTTCTCCAGGTCCTCCGGTTTTCCCTCCACATTTAGAAACATGCGTTAAGAGCATTTGGCTCTTATACATTTCCACATGATACGCCACTTCATTGGGCGATCATTTGTGGCCAGGTCGCTTCTAAAAAAGAGCTAAATAGCTCAGTGGGCCTTACCTGGGGAAAAAAAATAGTTTAGTTTAAATGGTTTTAATAGATTGACCAAGCCTATGATGAGTACTTGGCACTGTGTCAACAATTAGAATGGGGGAGACAGGTGCTTACTAACAGACTTTGCACCAATAGCCCATACAATTAAACGTTGAACCTTTCGTGAGTTTATAACCCTCAACTATGCCTGCGCAAGCACGGGTACGGACTTGAGGATGAATCGACCAAAGGGGCACCCATTGCCAAATTAGATTAATTGATTCAAACTATTGAAGAGTGTAAGCATTTTTTGGGAAGGTTGTGAACTAGAACCTTCAATGTGTCAGCAGTACTCAACCTATGGAAGTACAAGCACCTGCCAAATGCAACATAATCCCAACATTGGCACAGGAGCAGATCTGAGCCCCACACGATTTTTTTTTCACGTGGCCACGTAATCTATAATGTGGGAAAAGGGGCATATGGAACGACAGTGCACCGAATTGAAACTCGGCCTGGCGTGGAGAGGCGCGGTTACGTTTATTGTTGCCTGGGACTAAAATTAATCAAAAAGTTTTCCCTACGCCTTTTAACCCAATGACCCAGAGAAGCAATGATTTGCCCATTACGGTTTCACTGTTTTGGGTTGAAAAACCATGCAATTGGTCCTGGATTGTGTCTGCAAGTAGAGAAAGGTACCTTGGAAATGTAGAGGTGCAGACTTATTGGCTTTACTGGTAAATTCACTGTGGTGCACAATGGTGTATTCCATGAAGCACAGCAGATATGGGTGTGGGAAATATAAGTAAGCTTATTGAATGCATGGTAAGTCTTCTACAACACACAACATTGCACCAGTATAGCCTTTGTAATAATATGCCTCATAAATACAAGACTGATCTTTACTTTTTTGTATTCATACAATACAACTTGCAATGTGTCATGGGTATTGATACATATATCCAGCTGAATGCAATGATCTAACACTTCATAATTCACATAAATAAAAAATGCAAAATTACAAATTTGTATAATTATTTAAGTGCAACGTAATTTAATGAAGAAGATTTTATCGGAAATTATTGGTAATTTAACATTACACCTCTGTTGAATTATCTTACCAATTGCATTTCTCCAATCTGTCCAAAGAAGGTTTTGAATCAGTGTATGTTACCTGCTCTATGGCATATGTTCCAGGAGCATGGGATATTAACAAAAACAATGTGAACATTAACCCACATATATCAGGCTTTCCCTAATGCCAGTACTTGTATCACATCAGCCTACATCTTTACAAGTCTTAGCCATTCAAATGTGACAAAAAAGTGTTCTTATCCTGTGTGAGCCTGATGAGTGGTAAACATGTGCCAAGTTCCAAAAGAGTTAGGATACAGATCTTAAGTGGAATTATTCAGACAGTGATCTTAATTTTAATGAGCACTCTCCACGTCAAGTGCCATTGTGTAATTTTTGAATTTGCATTTGAGAAGATACGATTTGAACAGATAATTATTATTGTAGATGTTGTGGGTTTACTCTCCAACAAACCGGTGTGCTGAAATAGTAACGAATTAGCATGTATTGTTTACGTGACAAACCTTACTAATTGGCTGTGTTGAGTGGTGGCGGGTTAACAACAAATTAATATTTACGCGATATAACCCAAAAAACCTCTCTAATGGAAAATATTGGTCGCAAAGGCCTACCACACGTTAAATTGAACAAATAAAATTGGTAAACGGTTAACCGTGCACGTAGTAGGCCATGAGAGCTGGAATTTTGGGAAACCTTATCCTACAAGCAGGGCCGGATTAAGATTTTGTAGGGCCCTGGGCAACAGGTATTGTGAGGCCCCCAGTAATATTTCAAAAGGAAAACAAAGTTAAAAATAAAATAAAATCTATTTTTACAAGGCTAACAACAAATAAAATTCAGCATTCACAAATAAAATAACTTTTCACTTAATCTCTGGAGGCCCTCGAGCTGGCCGAGGCCCCTGGGCTGCAGCTCCTAAAGCCCATTCCTTAATCCAGTCCTGCCTACAGGGCTCTGGTGCAGCCAGGGAACAAAGCAAATATGTTTCGGATAAGTACCCATGAAGGTGGCTGTCTATGTGCAGCCACCCTCATGGTGGCGAGATGTTAACGACCTTGCCCGGTATACAGGAGCGCATAGGTTCAATCCTGACCCTGGTCGTATTAATTTTTTTCAGGGTCCTACCGTTTTCCCTCCAAATTTCGAATCGACATACATTTGGAGTATTTGGCTTCTATAAATGTCCACGTTAAAAACCATTTCGTTGGGCTATTATATGTTGACAAGTTGCTTCTGAAAAGGAGCTGTATAGCTCAGTGGGCCATAAGTCTGCACCAATAAAACATAGTTTAACTTATAGTTTTAGCGTTACTCATGACGTGTGCCACCAGCCTTTGTCTTTTGTTGCTGCTGCTGTGCTCATGCACCACGAATCTCCCGTGTAAAATGAGCCTGGCAACTGGCTAAACGGGATCATCCGTGTAACAAATCAAAATAAACTCAACGAATATCCTACGCCCCTCCATTGTTCTTGGGTGAAAGGTGACGTCAGCTGAAGCCCGGTGAGACTTTGAACAGATGAGGAGGCAGCTTTGGCCGACTGTCATTGTCGGCATGCCCACAAGGCAACATAGTTACATGCGATTCAGCAACAATGCAGCTAACAACGTATGGACATACAGTATTGGCGGTACAAAGGTGCAGCATGAAACACACACCGATCCTCGTAAAAGTCTGAAATCAAAATTTCAATTGACATTCGTCTTCCGACTGCGTTGACATCACGAGAACTGATTTTGACACACCACCGCCACCCCTCAAGATTTTCTGACTGGGGTTGCGAATCGCGGGGAAAAAATAATAATTGCGAAAAATTTCCTTTTTTATATACCGCGCACTACCGGTTTACTGCCAATATGTTCATATGCAGGTGATATATAGCGTAGCTTTTTTGACACGTTCTGATTGGCGACTCTTGTCCAAAAGCCCTAGCGGTAAGATGTGAATCACATCCTGTTCACAATAGGTGATCAAAAAAATACGTGGCTTGAAATAGGATTTGGT